TTTTTTTTTTTTTTTTTTTTTTTTTACATATCTCTTGATTTATAGGTAAAATCTTTAAAACAACGGATAGCATTGCTAGAGGAGGAATCGACAGGATATAAAACAAGTTTACCACTTCAATCACAGAGTTCTGGTGCCAGCGAAACATCATTATGACAATTTAGTGATTAATCGAAATCGATTGATAAAGGCTTTACGAGTGTTTTTACTATTCTTCCTGTCATTACAAAACGATTAAAATACAGATAAAATTTACGTATTTTTTTATACCAATAGTTGCCCAAGAATAACGCTTGATTATTCGCTTTTGTAATTATATAAAAAAAGAATACGAGTTAGTAGCTATCCTAAAATTTAAATCTAAGCTTATGCAAAAATGTGCTAGTGATACATCAATGCGAGCAAACTATTTAAAATAGTCCTCCAAGTATATTGTGAATTATAAATAATTGTTATATGATACTATATGTCATTTATAGACGATGATAGTCATCTTGTAAATATGTATATTTCAAGCATTAAAGAAAAGCGTGATATGTGTAAACTATGATGAAATAAATTGTGCTTTATTAAATCTTGTATTGTAGCTAAAATTAGTGTTTTATATCTTTTAAGTTATTTAATTTATAATATTATTTATTTCTTAATTTTATTTTCCCCAATTCTTTTAAAAAGAAACTTTATTAAATAATAAAATATTTAAACAATTATATAAATAATTACGTAAATAATATATCTTAATATAATTATACATTAATACGTATAATTTATTTATTAAGATTTTACTAACATATCGTTATGATTTTTTTGTTCTGATAGTTTTTTTTGTAATGCTTCTTCTATAAGATCATCTAAATCATCAAGCGGTCGATATATAAGATGCACAACTTGCGAGCCGGCTGCTGTTGCAAAAAATGCTGATGTAACGAGACAAATATATCGAGTCCATGAAATACCATAAGGCATTGTGATAAATTATCTATAAAATAAAATATAATAAATATTAAAAATTTTGTATCGATATTTCTAGTGTTTAAAATATTTTAACTTTTTCATATACTATTTATGATTGCTAACCTCTTTTATATTAATGTTCGACGATAATTTCAATATTAATGACAATCGATAAATAATATTTATAAATTAATTTTTATGATATTTATGTATTGTTTATATTTATTTATTAATATATATTGGTATATTTGTACAAAAAATACTTTATAAAAAATATTATATTTTCTATGGACACTCTAGGATACCATACAAGACTTTCCAATATAACCTATTTCAGAATCAACTTAAGTAAGATTAAGTAACTTTTTGACAATCTTAATTACGGTAAATTTATTTATTTACTACTAATAAGTTAATTTATTTATTATTTTTATATATTAATACACATATACAAAATATAATTACTCATAATTTTATACATTTATATTTTTATGCATTGTTTTGGGGTTCTTGATTTTCTTGTTCTTGTTGATCCATTTCTGTTGCCATAACTTCTGTTGCACTTTTTTCTGGAACATCAGGTTCTTCCTCTCCTGGTACATCATTGATTTCTACTCCTTCACCCTTATTCATCATAGATTTTTGTATTTCTTCTTCTAAATGTACACATGCTTGTTCAATCTCATAATTTTTTGATACTAATCCCACCCATTGTGCTTCCAATGCTCTTAATTTTTCTCCTCCTTGAGTTTGCATAGATTTTCTTTGCCAATTAACTTCTTGTATCTTTTTCCTTAATGCTTGTAATTGTTTTTGGGCTTGATTTACTAATTGCACTAATATTTCTAAATAAGATTTCCATGCTTCACATCCATATTCCATCATTAATTCAAGATTGCAAATTCTGTGTTATTATAAAACATTACAATAATATATTAGTCATATCCTTAGGCTACAAATAATATAAGTAATTAAGCAAAAATAAAAGATTAAAACATTAAAAATAATTTACCTTGTAGCCTGATGTTCTAATTGTGCGCTGCTATTTTCTACACTTTCATTCCATGCTGCAAGATCATTCATTTTACCTGGTGGAGGTGGAGGTAATTCATAACGTTTCATACTAAGTACTTCCATAGGTAAACGGTTTTGCATTCGTTCAAATTCATGTTTCATTACTTCTGTTTCAAAAGCAGTTATATTTAATGATACCAAATGTTCTAAATAATTTTTCGTTGGTCTATAGCGACGTGTTTCTTCTTCAACCATAGCCAAAGCCTAAAATATTTACGAGTTATAATTAATTTATTAATAATATACATTAATAATATAACCTAGAATTAATTTGATAATGAAATTTTATAAAAAAAATATTATTTACCGCTTCTCTGACTCCAGGTTCATCATATCCTTGATCAATATATGGTAAAGCATCAACTACAACTTCTCCTGCCATTTAATACAAATTGTATAAATAAAAACTTATAGTAACAATTTACTTTCATTAATTATTCAACATAGTTTAAATCTTATATGACGTATTTCCGATTATTTGGAAATGTATTTCTATTAGAACTACCAATCACAATATAGCATTTTCCATCAAACTTTATCACGATTGGTGCATGTCTATAAGAACATAAATAGTCATAAATTTAATTTCTATTGGAAATATAATTTTTTATAAGTCAAAATTTAAATGATAAATTTATGAACAATGCAAAAAATTTATCATCTTTCAAATATGTTTAATTTGTTACATTTATGAAATACTATATTTCATTGTAAATAATGTTTAAAAGAAACTACATTCTGAGCATGCGCGACTTTTAATATGTAATTTCCGCTCGCGTCCAACTTCCTTTATAATCAGCTTAGGCGTACAAGCTGCCTCGTAAGTTTATCTGATGTGTGAAAAGTTGTGAAAAAAGAGGTGAGATGGTAAGAAATTTGATATTTTGTTTAAAATTTAAGAGAATCTAATATCTTATATAATTTTATTGTTAAAATATTCTATAATTTTAAAAAATTTTACATTTAAACTTAAGATTGTACACAGATCGCATAATTGGACCACGTGTAATATCTTGTGATATATAAATGAATATAGCTTGTTTTTATTATATATTGAACTATAACTTACAATTTCATATATTTTTTTACCATCTTTGTTTTCTTTCTATTAATTATAATAATCTGTTTTATCATGTATGAATATATTTGTATTAAAAATGTGAATTTTTTTTTTTATCAATTAGTCCGCCATATATTTCATCAATAGAATAGTTTTATCAAAATTCGAAATTCTTTTTTTTCTTCTTGTTTTTTTTTCTCATTAATTTTTAATAATTAAATATATTTGGATATAAGTGGATTTTTATCTTATTTTTTGATTTTTCATTTTACAGTCGTTATCAACGGCGCGACCGCTTGTAACAATATATACCGATAAAAATGAATCTTCAGGCGATACAATTTCTCTACCGGCTGTCTTCAAAGCACCAATTCGGCCTGATATCGTGAATTTTGTTCATCAACAAGTCTCAAAGAATAGCAGGCAGCCATATTGTGTTTCTAAGGAAGCTGGTGAGCATATATAGTTTTGTGCCTAGTTTTTTTTTTTTTATATTTTAAAGAACTAATATACAATTATTAAATGTAGGTTTCTTTTATTAGGTCACCAAACTTCTGCTGAATCATGGGGTACTGGTCGTGCTGTAGCACGTATACCTCGTGTACGTGGTGGTGGTACTCATCGTTCTGGCCAAGGTGCATTTGGTAATATGTGTAGAGGTGGACGTATGTTTGCCCCAACCAAACCTTGGAGACGCTGGCATCGTCGAATTAATGTTAATCAGAAAAGATATGCCATGGTTTCTGCTATTGCTGCATCTGGTGTTCCAGCTCTTGTACAATCTAAAGGTGAATAGTAATTTTTTTTTTAAAGAAAACATTATATAATTCTATTTAAGCAATTTATTATTATTTTCATGATGATTGCTTTTGGTCCGTGTTTCTGATTTACCATTGATTATTTATAGCATTTGTATCTGATACAAAAATTTTCATCTATTTAATTTTTTCTAAATAGAACAATTATTATAACATGTATTATTTTATGTTCAGGTCATATGGTTCAAGAGATTCCAGAACTTCCTTTAGTAGTATCGGATAAAATTCAAGAATATAACAAGACTAAACAGGCTGTTATATTTCTGAGACGTATTAAAGCATGGAATGATATTCAAAAAGTAAGCATTTTTAAATAATTTCATTTCTGCACCGTAGAATGTCCGCATCTTTGTTAAAATAATTTTAATTCAGATGCTCCTATCAGGTGCTATATAAACATGGTTATAATAGGCGTTCTTTACTAGCTAAATTAATTGCTAGGACAGGGTGTATTTAACCAAACAAATTAAATTAAAATACATTGATTTAGAAAAAAAATAATAACCTTTTATTTATAGGTATATAAATCTCAACGTTTTCGTGCTGGTAAAGGTAAAATGCGTAACCGCAGACGCATTCAACGTCGTGGACCTTTGATCGTATATCATCAGGACCAAGTATGTAGAAATCTAAAAAAAAAAAATAACTTATTTATTATCTTTCGAATATTTATCATTTTTTTTTATTTTATATTTAGGGAATTCGTAAAGCATTCCGTAATATTCCCGGTGTTGATCTTATGAATATTAACAAAATGAACCTGCTTAAATTGGCACCTGGTGGTCATGTTGGACGTTTTGTAATTTGGACAAAATCTGCCTTTGAAAAATTAGATGCTCTTTATGGAACTTGGCGTAAGGAATCCCAACTTAAAGCCGATTATAACTTACCTTTCCCGAAAATGATGAATACGGATTTGTCGAGACTTTTGAAATCTCAAGAAATTCGTAAAGTTTTGAGAGCACCAAGGTATATAGATTTATATTATAAGTTTTTGAAAATATATTATACAATATTTTATATATGATGAAATTTGGTCCGTGTTGTTGATTGACAGTGATTATAACTTAACCATATCTGACGTTTTACTCTTTATGAATCTTTTATAATCGTTTCATATATGATATATTTATTACATACAAATTTCAAACTTGCAGAAAGAAAGTAGTCCGCAGAGTAAAGAAATTGAATCCATTGAGCAATACTCGTGCGATGTTACGTCTTAATCCATATGCAGCTGTTCTGAAACGTGCAGCAATTTTAACAGCAAGGAAACGACAACAAGAAAGAGAGCTTGCTTTAGCAGAAAAGCGTGGAGTAAGTTAATCTTTTGATATTGAATAAATCTATATTTTTACCGATTTTATCGAAAACATTATTCGGTGTTCCTAGGTCAAGCTGCCAAAAAGTACACCAGCCGTCAAGACTAAGTTACTCCTTGAAAGACGGAGGAAGCAAATCTTGGCTGCAAGAGCAGCGAAACCTAAGAAAGCGGTAAAAGCAAAAAGTGCAACATCTGTTACTGCGGCAAAACCGGCAAAAACCACAAAAGCATCCGAAAAATCGGCAAAAAGTAGCCAGAAAACCGCACCCGCTAAGAAGTAAACATTTTTATTAAGAATTTGTTGTTGACCCATGAACTTTATTTGTTTTGAATAAAATGTGGGAAGACAACTACAGGAAGATCGGTCTTGTAATTGATGTAACTTGTATCTCCTACCTTTGATGTTAAATCTTTTTTAGGTATAAACATAATAATTAAATACATATAGTATTATGTTCTATTTCTTTTTGTTAAGAGGAGCACGCATAAAGATCGTGTCATTAAGTATTTCGATTGAGACTTCTTTCGCATTTGCTTCAGGTGGCATTAGGAAATTTAGATTTCTAATATTCGATAAATCTTCCGAACTATGCAATTTTATATTCAATGTATTTTCATTCGCTAAAGTAGCTGTTCCTATTTTCAATCCTTCAGTCTTCATTTCTGCCTATATTGCATAAAAAAAAAATAAATATATATATATATTAATATATATATTAATAAAATTTTTCAATTTTTAATTGGGCAATTAATCTTAATGAAAGAAAACATACGGCATAATATTCTTTATGATCAATAATATAAAAATTGGGAACTTTTTCAAATCTGAAACTCTTCTTCCGTCCATTTGTCATTATTTCAAAGTTCATATAGTCATTTCGCTTTAAAGTGACACCATTTTCTTGAGAATTATGTAGTAGTTTATCCATAGTAAAGTTAAACTTCAAAAATTATTGAAAAAAAAAAGTTACGGAAATTTGTTTGAAATCATTTTCACGGGTCAACTAAACGAAGTTGGTAGAATAATCTTATATCGAAATCGTTCTTTTATCTTTATCGAATTTGACATTTTGTTCATAACTTCATAGTAGAATATCAAGAAATACTTTCCTTGCTCAATTTTTCTCAATATATTTTTTTCATTTTGCTAAGTTTTATCGCTGGAGCCGTGAGCACAAGCGTTCTATGTTTATTATCCACTACGGCTCGAACTTTTGCGTTGTCAATACCATCCGGTATTAACAAATTCTCGCAATGTTTCATCATTTTTTTAATTACATCGGTAAAGATTGGTTTTTCATTCATCTCTGGTAATTGTTTTGCAAATTGATCATCTAAGGGTTTAATCATATTCACGCGAAGATTATTCCCTTTCACGGTTATTTTAATAGATGACAGGTCTACCTCTGGCGCCAACAACATTCTTGTCTACGATACAATAACGATAAATGTACCACTGATTTAATTTAACTGAAAGTAGTTGTGTTGAACCTCATAAACGTTATCTGGTCGAATTCCGCTAGACACGATTTGCGTTATGTAATTGGTTTCCACTGGTTTTACGATACTTTTGTTCGATTCTTGTTTAACCTGATTTCCAAGGGAACTCGACGTTTTAAGAAACTTCAACGAAGCCGAGCATTTCGGACAATGTCTAGTATCAATTATTATATCTCCATTGCACTTTATACAATTACTTTTCTTTACGTCCATTTTTCAGATACTTTGAAGGCATATATTATCATTATCAAATTCACGCTAGCCTGTGAAAGACAACTCGAATACAGCGTTGAAATGGTATAACGGGGAATTTTTCACGATATTATTATAATGCTAAAACTCACAGACTAAAATGTGATATGCCTTTGTACTATAGGTTTACTTGTCAATTTAAAAATCTTGCCGGGATGACAGGTGAAAATCAATGGATACAACAAACAACAAAAGAATGCCAAGACCTCTTTTTACATTATGAGATTCTGCAAGCATCAAATAACTTCTATCCCTTTATTAAAATTATCATCGATGGAATACAAAAGGAGAGTATTTTTCAAAATTTTCTTACGATAATACTTTAATGAACTTTAATGAAAAATTTCATTATATCAATCTTTCTAACAATAATCGTTCAATTAATATCAATTCTAAAAATTGATCCTAGTTAATCAAGAATTAGAATGAAGATTCGAAATGACGAAAACCCCGTTTAATTCCATCATCTTGGAATTATCTGCTAATCGAATCAAATTTCTAATCGACGAAAGTGGTGATCCTCTTTGGGAGGATCGGGCGCGAAATACCAGAATGATTCCAACCTTGTACAAGCAGCCAGTTTGTTTAACATTCGTGTCTGCATTGTTTGAAACGCCTGCGCGAATTTTCTTGGGAATAGAGGTGCGGTGGTAGGGGTAGCGCGGGATTCAGGGTCGAAATTGCACGGTGGTTGAAAAGCATCGGATACCAGTCGAGGACAGGCGGTCTCGCGTTTAAGTGGTCCATCAATTCCATGTCGCCTTTGGTCCTGTTCTTTCATTACGGAGTTTTGGCCATCATTTTTGGGAACGGTAAGTCGTTTTTCTACCACTCTTTCGAGTAAATTTAAGTTTTTCTTTTAAATTTTTGCAAATATTTATCGTGGATTTTATTCTTTGAAATTGAATTTTACAGGGAAAAAAAAGGAAATTAATTTTTATTGACATACATGATATTTTTTTTCTTATACGTTTAAGTGGTAAATATTTAATATAAATATTTTTTATTTTTATTATTGATTTCTTAAAATTTTTCTCAAATAAATAATTGTTCGAATAATTACTTTAAGATATATACATACAATGAATTACTAAAAAAAAAAAGTTTTTTCTTATACGACCTTTGCAATCTTCACTTGATCAAATATGAAAATTGATTGCTATCATGTTATCTGAACGAGAGAACAAATAGAGTTGAAGAAAAAGTACATAATCTTGTTTGCATACCAGATTCAATCTCGATGCGTAGCTAACATCGAACGAAAGCATCGAGAAAAGTACTGATTAAGGATGCCGGCCTCGCGATTAAAGGTAATCTCTTCTATTTATCCGATAACTGGATTGCCACGGCCTACAGGATTTCCCGAGCAAGAATTTTACGAGCACCGATTGAGTTATAAATGAGTTAGTTTTCTTCCTTCGAAAAACTTCCCGCTCGGTCTTTAAATGGCCAACGTGTTATCGTCCCTCGATGAATTTGATTTTATCCTCAATTTTCTCCTCTTCGATCGATCGTATCTTTCAATCTTTCCTCATCATTCAAACCTGTCGAAGCTTCAAATTCTTCTGAATATTTCATTACTTATTTTACATATTATAACAAAATTATGGTTAAATTTCGGATATCGATAGAAAATTGTTCGATTGTGGATTATTATTATTATTTTTATTTATTTATTTTTTTTGGTTTTAGCGTAGGAAAACATGGAAATATAACGTTCACACCTCGAGACGTTCGTTCTGTTACCGATGTCGTCCACGACGAGATCAAGGAAAACACTTCTCGTTAAGATGCAAATAACAAATAGTCCGCAACTTCCTGCAGGCCATATCTAACGGACCACTTTAACTCGTTTCCACGAAAATAAACGACCTCGATTTTCCTTCCCTACGTTCAGCCACCGAAGAATTATAGGAACAACGGCAACGGTTAAATAATTCCTTAAATCTCCACTCTTTTTTTCTTCTCTGAACGATAATACTCTCTTTCTTAAAAAAAAGAACGCATTAAAGATATACATTCCCCCTAGTACGCTTATAAGCCAAGGCATTAACTCGAACATGTAAATTCTGTACGATGCAAATGTCGGTCTGTTAACATAACTTTTATGCGTGGAATATGTGCAATCTGCACCATCCAGCATAAGGAATAAAGTTCTCTTATATATTTGCATATGTGCACCTTCCGCCACGAGGCGGAAATGAACAATTAAAAGTGAACAAAGAAGAATGGGGAAGGAGGGCACTTACCGGGGAGAGGGAACTGTCCCGAAGTTTGCTTTTCAGAGTTAAGCTCAGTTCGATTGGCCGACAGTTTTCAACCTCTCGAGGTTTCCGTGTAAACCTTCCGGTTTTGCAAACGTCGATTCCCTCCCTCCACCATCGCTAATTCCACGAATCGTCGAACAAACGGTCAAGACTCGCATAACTCCACCATCCTTGAAAAATCGACTCGTTCGTATTCGTTCACGGGATAGATCTATCGATCGATTTGTTTGCCGTGTCGCGATCATTAGAATCGGCAAACGCGTTAATCGTTGGAGCGCGACTGTACCGGAAAAAAAGTTTTCTACCTTCCCACTTTCTTTCGTTAAAGAGGAGCTGGAAGATGAATTTTTAATAATGCAACGACCGAGCCAAGAAACTTTCGTCCAAAAAAAGAAGAGATAAAAAAAAGGTATAGAAAATTGAAAAGCTTTCATCTTTCGAAGTTATATATTCTACGTTGTACACGATTAGTTTCCAAGTGAATCCGTTTCATTCTTCGACGATTTCTCATTCTCAGAATATATTTTTTTTCTCTCCATTTGCTCCACGATAACGTTTTGTCAAAATTTCTTTATCCTAGGAGCAAGTACGAGCATCGAAGGGAATTACGATCGAAAAGTCTTCGATCGTCGTTTCAACGGGTATTAGAGGTGCGAGAGGATTTTTTTCATTTCGAGGGCCCTCGAACGGCGCAGCGAACGAAAGAATCGGCGAGGATGAAGCGTGTCGCGCATTTCATACCGGCATCGATCGCGTATCGATGCTCGATTCCGGCGCATCGCCCGCTAATTCGCGGACACTCGAATCGCTCGAATCAAATTGAATCCTCGAACGTTCAGCTTTATCGGGGAAAATCTTCTTTCGATATTCGTTTTTCGCTCCTCTTTCCTCTCCACTTCTCGCTTCGAAACACGTTGCTTTTTGAAAATACTCGAATACTCGATGATCCGGACGGATTTCTTTTTTTTTTTTTTTTTTTTACTGTTAGGCAAGCATCATTTGCAGCGTCATTTAAAAATTTCTCTCGCGGCGTGGAATGAAGAAACGTTGTGAAGAAAGTATGCAACTGTGAAGAATCGAATTTCACGAGCTCGAAAAAATTCGCGCACTGATTCTTCCGAAAGCGCGAATTTATCAACGCGGAGTCTGGTAAACGGCGATGAATAGAATTTCCGTGATGAAGAAAAGGCGGATTTTCGCGGTTCTTTTTTTTCCTCTGTGAATTTCTCTTAAACGTTGCGCGAGCGTTTGGTTGGAAAGCGTGTCGAAAAGTGTATTCGATGTTCCCTCCTCGACGCGTTCAACCTGGAAATTATCAATATTATCCAGAAGAAAAAAGAGACGATTGTATTGTCCTGTAAAGATCGTAGATCGATCGTAAAAAATTAGATCCCTTCGTTTTTCACTCGATCACTTTTAACGAACTCGCGTATTTTACGAGGATTGTTAAAAGAAAAAGAAAAGAAAAGCGCAAATCAAGAAGCGAAAAATATATTCTCAGAAAGAATTTATATATCGCAACGATTTTCAACGAGTCTCAACAATTTTTTTCAAATCAGAGAACGAGAGATGGATAGGCGGTTAAATAATTCGGGAAAAGAGGAACGCCTTCGCGACGCGTGACGTCGATTTAACGATCGGAATTAAGAGGGGAGAAAATTCGCTGAACCGTGTGTTACTTTCGTGACCTTACATCCCTCAAAGACCAAAACACTGGAGCAGCCTCGAAAAAACTTGCCTGAAATCTGAAAAAAAAAAAAAAGAATAAAAAAATCGTAACCACTTCTTTGCACTTTTTAAGGAGAATTTATTAACGTCGTGTTTGAAAAAGGGGAGGAAGTGTTTAAAAAAAAATTTTAAAAGATCAAAGATCAAACTTTCTATTTTTTCTATTTTTTTTTTTTTTAATTAATCGGATAAGTAAATAGCCGTTGTGCCTTGTCCCATCGTTGTCTCTCCGTGGAGAGATCCTTTATCTAATTGAGGTTTGAATGCAACGCCTGGTGAGCTTGGAGAAAAGATGAAATGAAGGGCAGATTAGTTGGTCTACGGGAGGGCTTCTCCGCGTTTCGAGACACAATAGCCACCTCGATGAAACGAACGATGGTTCTATCCACTGATCGGAAACACTATAATGGATATCATATAATGGATTCCCTTGATTTAGGGAAAGAGATTAGATTCGTGATTAAAGATCGAAGCCATTAAATTTGCAGGAAACAATTGTCGCGCAAAACTTGGCCTCTCCCCTTTTGTATTCTATTTCGTTTCTCGTGTTTTAAAATCGTATATTTTTACCGTGAAAAAAATAAGATTTATGCATGTCGATGGGAAAAATTGAAAGAGAAATGTATTACAACGCAACAACACAATTTTCCACAATTTAATTCCAAAATTTAATTCTTCTTGAATATTGGATGTTGAATTCCGTGCATACTTGCTTTTCCAGGTTTTGGGGATGAACACGAATATAGATTGACGAAATATCTGCTCGATGGATACGACGCCGGTGTACGACCAGCCGAGAATTCCTCCCAACCCCTGGCGGTCGTCTTTGGTCTTTCTCTTCATCACATAATCGACGTGGTGAGTATCGAGAATTTGAAAGGAGAGGAGAACGAACTTTACTCCCTAAAGTTTAAACTCGATGTAAAACCGATTTTCAAACTTTTCAAACCACGAGATGATGGTCAATTTTCCCAATATCTCGGAGAAAATCAACGCTGGTTCCCAACGTTGATCGATAGACGATAGACCTTTCGTCGATCGATTCATAAAAATCGGAGTGGAAACACGAATTTGACAGGGAAATATCACGCAAATCGGTGCGAAAATCAAGATTTACGTGATCCAGAGATAATAAAAACGGGTAGAAAGCGACCAAAAATTGCCATTGTTCCTTCGTCGTGGTTGGAGAAATATGAAATTCAGGTCGACCCTGTTCGAAGTGGCATTAATTTTCCTTGGGCAAAAGTATCGGCATTCCAGCGATACGCGGCCGTTTAGTCCGGGAAATATCGATTTGTATTCATTACGTGACGCGTACGTACGTGTATACATATGTATATGTGTATGTATCTCTTTTCATATTTTCGACGAGAGTGCATCGTCGATCGAAAATACGAACAGGGTCTCCGTGAGCGAGAGAAGAGATCTTCTGTCGGAGACTTAATCGAGAATACCTAAGACAAATGGCAGGGAGCAACACACCTCCCTGTGATAAGTTTCGCAGATTTGTCTCGCGTATATACTTAACGAGAATCATTCTTTCATCATCCAGATATATTTTTCTCCGCGCTTACTAACGCGGGCGTCAAATGGGTTCTCGTTTCGACAAATCTTGGCGCGATTTTTCGTTCGCAGGACGAGAAGAATCAGATACTGACGACCAATTGCTGGGTGACACAGATTTGGACGGACCATCACCTGAAATGGAACGCCTCGGAGTTCGCGGGGATCCGAGTGATTCGTGTTCCTTACAATCGCGTCTGGAGGCCGGACACGATTCTCTACAACAAGTAAGCGACGATTCTTTCGATAAAAGAAAAAAAAAGAAAATCGTTGGAAAACTGGCACGTCGAACGAAAATGGTAAAAATTGGAAGATAGCTCGATATTTTCGTGGACGCGTATCATAAGATAGAAGTTTCGATATCGATTACCAGCAGCAGCAGAGGCGCGACTCATTTCTTCCATGATCGGTTTTATTCGTAGCGCCGATCCACAGTACAGCTCGGCAGTCATAAATACGAACGTGATAGTGAGCCACACGGGGGAAGTGGTGTGGTTGAGCCATGGAATATTTCGCAGCAGCTGCGACATCGACGTAGAGTTCTTCCCTTTCGACGAGCAACGGTGTGTGTTGAAATGGGCCTCTTGGACGTACGATGGATATCAAGTAAGATCAATTTTTCTCCTTTATACTCACTTGAAAATCCCTCTATTTGTCTACAAAATGATCATCGTCGTAAATCAGAAAGTGAAAGATGGAGGAAATGTTCGTGGAGGAACCTGTCGAAAATCTCGAGCAGAGGATATTGGGCAATGGGAATATCGAGACCGCGAAATTCATCCGATAGAAAGCAGTTTTCCGCGCAATTAACTCGAACTGTAACCGGTCCATGTGAAATGCACGAGAAACCAACGCGTTCGTTTCCCGTGTATTTTATTCGAATCGATTTTTAAATTACTCCATTGTTCTCCGATCTTTTTTTTTATTTTTCTTTTCGACTAGGAAACACGCGTTGGGCATGTTTATCGTATATTATATTTTCCTTGTCAAAGAGATTCTTTCTTCTTAAGAAACTCTGAAGCAAATATTACAGCAGCGTCTATAAAATAATGTACGCGGTCAAGTAGAGTTTAAACGAAACGAGCGAACAAGAGATTTAATCGGGGAGCGATGTGCGAGCTGCATCGCCCCGAACCTCCCCTGCATTGCCCTCAATTTCACGCAGTTCTTCTCTCGGGACAGGATATGCAGATTAGAATGTGATATATCGGCCATCCGCCCAGACAATAAAAATATCACAGAGGGCGGGAACGAGTTCAACCGAAACCTTGACACTTGACATTGGTGTCCACCAACTTCCGTTCCGAATATCTCTCTCTCTCTTCTTTAAAAATCTATCTATTTAATCCGTCGCTCACGGTGCGATCCTTTCTCCCGCGTTATCGCCACGAACATTGTCTTAAAAATCTGTGAACGCCTCGTCCAGGATTAAAAGTTGATCCACGAATGCAAAGAGCTTGCACATGGACGAGAGATATAAGGGATGATCTTCGACACGTTTCGTCGCGAAACGAGTCAAGATACTCTGGAAGAAAAAAGAAAGAAAAGAAATTCGATTAAATTAATTCGTGGATGTTCTCGCGGAAATTCACGTTAAATTTATCCTCCTAATTTGTGCAAGTTTTGTGTTACGTAGTATAGTTTGAAATATGTTGATAGAAGAACTGTGTGCGAAATGTGTGCGTGATAATTAATGTGAAAAGTTTCGTTCGATTATTATATCTTTCCATATATCTTTGTTTTAATTGTAATCAACGGTATATAGTAATTATTTCGTCTTTTCAGGAGATTATTCGTATTATAATAAGATTCGACGATGTTTTTCTTTTTCTTTTTCTTTTTTTTAAATTTAGAGCAAATTTTCTCGAGTTTCTTCGGGTAAGAAAATCGTGATACAAACGATAACGTTGGGACAGATTTCTCGCGTGATCGGAATAGGATTCGGCCCTTTCCGAAGTCCAGGGCCGCTTAACGGGGACAAATCGAAAATGCCGGCTCGGCAGGTCGCAAAAATGGTAGGGGCAAATCGAACAGCTTAATCCCAAATGCGAGAAGAATTCAATGCGAGTCGTTTCTCCATGGAGCCGACGAAGCTCGAACCCATCCTTTCACAGAGTTTTCCCATTTCCTATCCCTCATGCCATGGAATACATTTTGCGTGTCGCTACGTTTTGCCTTTCTGAAATACCTTGGAAATACGTTTCCTCCTCCTCCACCTCTGTTACGTTATATGGAAAAACTCCATCCGTTTAAATTGATCGAATGCTAGGAAATTAACGATGAGTGGGAAAGGTGTGGAAGGCAAGGGTGGAAGAAAATTCCACCGTGATTTTTCGCTAAAAAAAGAAAAAAAAATTGTATCCTTCGAAAGTAACCCCCATGCTTCTCGATAGAACCATTTCTATCCTACGTCACATCGAATACGATTCTCGCTTGGATTCGTTTTTGTCTTGACACCTGTCTGTCCTGTATTATCTCTACGAGAAATATACCGACACGTAATCGCGTTCCATCCCGTTGGATCTAATTCAAATCGACGATTTAACGATTTTAATCCAGTACAGAAACGTATATTCCTGAGAACATTAGTTTCATCCCCTTCCCCTTTTTTGGAGAGATAATTGCTCCTCGCCAAGAAAACGTAAAAAAAACGTGGTTTTTGTAAATCAATATATATATATCTTCTTCTTTTCCACCGTTTAATCGTGAAAGAGATATTAATTACGCTACATGTTGATACAGTTGGAATTGGAGAAGCAAAGCGAGCAAGGAGACGTGAGCAATTATCAAGCGAACGGTGAATTCGACCTGGTCAATTTCTCCGCGAGAAGGAACGTGGAGTATTACTCTTGCTGCCCTGAACCGTATCCGGACATCACTTACGAGATACGATTGCGACGTCGACCGATGTTTTACGTCTTCAATCTGATTCTTCCCTGCATACTCATCAACAGCGTCGGTGAGTATATATTTCGCATCTATCGTTTCGTTTCACGAGCGGAGGAGCATTATGAAAATTTGCAATATCGCGAAATTAAGAGACGATACACGATTGTCGTATAAAAACGGAACATCGAGCCTTATCCGTAACAGGGTCAAGCGTTCTTATCGGATCTGGAAGAGGAAATTTCATTAAATCGTACGAAGCGAATGACGTCTCTGAGTCATCTTTTCTTCTTTTTATTCTTCTTCTCTGATAGTAGAATTTCCCTCCGTGGAAAAGATAGAAGGGAAAGATGCATTCGAATGTTTGTATAGGAAACGAGCACGAGGCTAGAATCGGTTAACAATGAGAGCTCGTCCTCCGCTCGGCCCTCCACTCGATTTTTCGCGCTCGAACTTTCCCTCCCCCTTTTTCTATTTGCTTCCCCGACACGAAAAGTTTGACGCTCTCGCTCGCAGAATCGTCTTAGAATTCCTGCGAATCCCATTCGATATTCCGTGACGGGGAATACCGAGCTCTCCAACTTTTTTTTTTTTTTTTTTTAACTCCTCTTGGTTTGTTCAGCCCTGTTGGTATTCTACGTGCCGTCTGAATCGGGGGAAAAAGTCACCCTCGGGATTTCGGCCCTGCTCTCTATGACGGTCTTCCTAATGACTATTCGCGAGTCACTGCCGCCCACGGAGAAAACACCATTAATAAGTGAGTACGTTTAATCGACGATAATAAGCTTTGAACAATACTTTGAACGATAGTGGAAATTCGAGAGAATAGTTAAGCAAAGTTGTTAGCGACGAATCTTTCAATCTTGCGGAAATAAAAATAAAAATAGTAATAATAAATATTATGCCGCCATTATTATCGTATAAAAATCGAGACAAGAGAGGAAACGAGACGACGAAAGAAGAGACGTTACAATCATTATCTGTACTCGTTGAAACGTGAAATTCAGTCTCCATTGGTTAAAAAAAAAAAACTTTCCTTTGCATTTCTCGCTTCCCCAAAGGGGGATCGATGATACTTTGTTCGAGATACGATATCGAACGAATTGTTGCGAATAGAATTTGCGTAAAAGGTTTCAGATATTTGTGGCACAATGATTGGTAGTATCAATGCTAACAATAGTGGAGGCATGTTGATTGAAAACTCCCAAATGTCTCTTTGAAAGTCCTCCGATACCAATGCGAGATGCAACGGAATCGCGTTTATCCCATTGTGGAAACATCGTACTCGATTTCATTTATCGCGAAACTCTGTAATTGGGAACTTGCTGGACAATTAATTTATACAGAAACGGTAGAAAGTTTAGCGGAGTTTTAATCAGATTGGGATAATGGTTAATTTGTTTGCGTCCACGTATAATTATCCATTATCATTTTCAGGTCTTTATTACGGAGTCAGTATATGCCTGGTGACATTCGCTTCAGCGTTAGCGGTGGTCACTTTGAATCTTCATCACCGCGGTGTTCGAGGTACTAGAGTACCTGGTATCGTTAGATCATTGGTCTTGGACAAGCTCGCCAGGATAGTGCTCCTCAACTTTCAAGAGGAGAGAAGATCGGTAAGATCTGTGCGTTCTTTGAACGAGGATTTATTTATTTTCCTTCGATGTCCACCATAAACGATGCACGATTTGCATTAGGAACCGGTCGAACCGCCAAGAAGAAAAAACAATTGTCCATTGCACTGCAAACCGGAGCTGGCCCAATCGCAATCGTCGCCCAAGTTCGTAACCAGAAGGGAGGAGAGTAATAGCAGCAGTCCTAGTTTAGGTGAGTTTTGCGGGATTTGTGTGAAAATTCATCGGGTTCCAACAACTTAAGAAAGAAACGTGGCGCAGATCTTGGAAAAGAAGGTGGCCTTGAAGCACAATGGTCACGCGTGCTAGGGAGAGTGCACGCGACGATCGAGAGAAACGAGAAACGACTTGCGGAGCAGGATCGTCGCGAACGAATGGAATTTGATTGGAAACAGGTCGCGTTGGTCAGCGATCGAGCGCTTCTTTGCGTTTTTTTTTTAACGACGATCGTCAGCACCACGGTCATCCTGTGTGGTTCTCCGCCAAGCACGAACATTGCCAAAGAGGGTTAAGATAAGGACGATGGTAGAAAAATTGAGTTGAAACCGGAACACGGAGTTCGAGTAACTTTGTTTCAAATAAGATCCATGATATAAGTATTAAACACTTGTAACTATTATATAAGCAATTTTAGGAATAAGGTGTACGTACAACGTTCGTTTGTCGAAGATAAGTTGCTGGAAGAATAAATTCTTTTTCTTTTATGATCATTTTTATCCTTTTATTAATTAAACACGTGTATTGTATAAAAAGTATATAAATATCTTTAAAAAAATATGAAAAATATTTATTTTAATAGTAATCAGGTACAGGTGCACAAGCTATTTTAACAAAATCTTCGTATTTTACTTGTCCATTTGGAGACACATTTGCCTCTCTGAAAATTTGCTCCACTGGAAATTAAACACGAATAAATTTAACAATGATTGTTGGAATATTTTTTTTAGTAATAAAAGACCAACCTTCTTTGTTACTTAATTGTTCACCCCAGTGGAGCAACATATGCGCTAACTGTCTGGCTGGTATAGTGCCAGTTCTAAATTTATCTGCAGCTTGAAAAGCATCTATCACTTCTTTTGGTAAATCTTCAGCTCTAGTTTGTAGATGCATAACTTCCAAAAAATCAGCAAATGACATTTTTCCACCTAAGATAATTATAATTTTAAGAATTTGGAATTTTATTTGTACAATTTATTTGTACCTTTATCTTTTAAATATTTATTTAATTCTGCAATAGTTGGACTTAATCCTAATGATCTCATAATGATTGTAAGTTCATCCAAAGTACGTATTTGACCATTCCTTGCAAATAGATAAAAACATTCTCTGAATTCTGTAAGAAAACAAATCTTTATTTTATAAATAATAATCCTGAATAATAAAAATTAATACAGTACCATCTATATCTTCCTCTCGAAAATAACGAGCCTAAAATATAGAAATAAATAAGGATAAGTATTAATATTTTTTATAAAATTCATATTTAAAAGTTGCAATTACCATAATACAAAACTTTGTTTATTACTTTTCGTTTACGTGTCAAATAACGTTATCCAAGATAAGGTTAAGTTACCGAGTAACATAACCTTATCCGACTTTTTCACTGTATAGAGGCGACACCCTCGAGTGTTACGTACATTAATTGTAACAATCAGTTACCATTAGCGATCGATCGATCTTCATTTAAATTTCATATGATAATTTTATTTCTCTTGATATTATTAATCAATAATGATAACAGAAGTACATGATCTTTTATTCATATCAATTGTTCGATTAACATAATGAATCTGCGAAACAGTACTTGAGACAGTTTTAAATCAAAAGTTAAACGTTAATTTCAAATTAAAAGAATTTTAAATTATATATATAATATATATTATATATATAACTTTATAGAATTACAAAATATTTTATTTAAACAGAGAAAAAAAGGAAAGAAATTTAAAAATATAAAAGTAGTTTGATCAATTATGATCAGCACTAACAAAAACAAAAAAGAAAAATAAACAAAATACATACAATGTATTCTGCGAGTTATAATAAGGGAAGTTGAGAAAAGCTAAGTTAAATAAATCTGCTACAAAATAAGTTTTTAACAAAGAAATTTTTTTACGTATTAAACAATTCATTGATATCACACGTTCATCTTCTTCCATTTACCATATAATTGGCATTGTAATTGGCCTTGTAGATATGTGAGCAAGGATTCAATGATATAATATAGAATTTTTATTTATATTTTCGCATCGAAAAATAATTGATTATTGAATATTCCATCATAGATATATTAACATTAGATAAATCTTATTAAATAAAATCATATTATTATACAATCACGTTTATTATTTATCGAAAGAATATTTTGCAAATAAAAAAAGTGTAGTGATTGTGATAAATTTTGATAAAAATCGGTAAAAAAAATTGTGGTATTCAAGTATCGATTATTTTCCATTGGTACCAACCTTACAGGATGATGATCGTAAACCCTTCGGTCGCCCTTCTGTTTCAGGAATACTCCTTTCCTTTGACCGACGACTAAGGTCAAGTTACAGGGAGGTGGGAGTCAGTACATGATAGTAGAGTGGGGTACTTCCACTGGGAAGGGTTGGTGGTACAGCGTGCCACTATTGGAAAGCGTCGCTTCGCGTCCAGACCAGGCTTGGTCTTTGAGAAAGAAAGAGCGCGCGCTATCAGGGGAATAAGAATGGATATAGGAGAATTTGTAAGGCAGAAGGAGAGAGGGCGCAGTACAGCTGGGTCGAACGCGACGTGGTAGGGGAAGTCGTTGTCCTCGGAGTCTTCGTTCGCACGAGTTCCCGTCAGTGCAACGCGGAACGCGTTCCTGTTCGTATTGTTGAGTGGGGTTAGTGTCGCATCTACTATTTCCTTTATTTCTATCTCTCTTTTTCTGTCTGACTATAAATTTCTTTGTTCATTGTTGAACACGAGAGAACGACAACACGCAATCGTGCGACACACGTGTGATACCGTGAGTAGTTAGTGCAGTGTGACAGGATGCGGTACAATGACCGTAAATGAGTAATCGACGGTGCTGGCAGAACCGGTCGGAAGGACGAGGATCGCGGTGGAAAGGACGCCTGTGGCAGGACTCGAGCCGTTGTGCATAGGTAGGTGTCAAATAATATGCGAGAACAGGGAGCACGCGCAATATTCTACGTGCGAATCTCTCTTTTTCCTTTTCCCTCGGTATTTCCTTTTCTTTCTTTTTCTCTCTATCTCGTAATCTATCTCTCGGTCTTTTCGTTTTCGTTCGCGTGGCTAAGCAATAGTTTTTTTCATCGTTCAGGTCTACCTTTGCGTTTCTTCGATATATCTTTCCTCGGTACAAATCGAAAGGTATGCAAGTCGCTCGAAGAACGATGCCAGATTTCCCTCGCCGAGATCACCGAGATTATTTAGATGTATAATGCCACGTTCTATCACTATGAAATCTATGAAAATGCGCGTCGCGTCGTTATAAAGCATCGAGATTCGTTGCACGCATATTCCTTCGTTGTTTTGTATAATAGTGTGTTTACGTCGGATTACACGCGCACGATGGAAGATTTAAATGTCACGTAAAACGCATCCCCAGCGCCACCAGAATGTCTGACGGAAGTTATTTCGGCGGATACTGACTTTTTCGACTTTTCGAATTACACGAATTGATGAACGCAATTATAGGTTAGTTTGATATTTTTTATGCTGTATCTTTTTTCGAAGCAATCACGAGAAGTTTTATGAATTTACAAAGTAAATCGAAGTTTGAGGCAAAAGATACAAAGATATAATCAAAGGAATCATTGTTATCTTTGCAAAAAATTGCAAAAGTTATAGACTTTAATTGTCGTTTAATTGTCGAGAAAAGCGAACGTTAAACGCGAGCTCTGGATATCGAATTGGCGCATGTAACGCTATGGAGCGTTGCATAAGGTCGCTTATCTATGTGAAAGTTATATTAAAAAATAGCCAAAGGAGTTCGTTAGGAGGTCGAAACCATTGTTCACCGCACGATACTCGCGAATACAAAAGGATGCGTTAAGACTAATTAATGTTATCAGGCGGCGAAGTTTCCCGCTGAATTGCCCAGCTCCATGTAATTGCAAACTATGCTTAGCCAATATCATACCATCGATATTGCACAACAACTTGCCTCATTTCGATTCAGTTAATTCGATACGCCGTTTAAACAACACACTGTATTATACATAATGGTTAATCCATCAACATCCATGTCGAATCTCGTTAACTGTAAATTACAAGTCTTTGTACTTGGAAACCCTTCTAATTCGATCTCATCCGTTCGATCGTTCCTACGCTACTCGATACTAATCACAATAGAAACTTGAAATTAATAATCCCGAAACTCTCTGGCTTGCCTCCCTTAGACGCGATTTCCCAAATGAACGTAATCATGGCTCGTGCTAATCGCCTTAAGACAGGAATTAATAATCCTCGCACGTTCACGATTCGTCTTCGTAATTTCATCTTCTCGACAGGAAATCACCGAGATTTTCTCAATTTTATGCGGAACGAACGAAAGTTTGCAGTCCTTCGACTCGGTTACGAACTCGGTTCTTTTATAATTGCTTTTTAGAGTAGTTGCACCTTTGTGCCCGTGTTATGTTCCATCGATGAACGGTTAGGACATTACGCAAAACATGTTTCGCTGGTGAACGTTACGAGGTAACGGTTCAGCGAGGCGCGTTCGATGGAAAATTGTCCGATATTCGCCGTTCGATATACGCCGAAGTGTACGATCGGAATTCACGATTCTCTATGTCCACGCTACTTCGGAATTTTACGCATTTTTAACAATTTCAGTTTGTTTTATGTATCGCGGATTCGCGCACGTTCGAAAATGTAATACACCTCCCGTGCAAAAATTTCTTCGTTTTAAAATTTTTATCGATATCGTGAGAACCGGAAATGGATAGAAATTTCTCTCTACTAGTTAATTTTAATCATAATTTCGCGCGAGTTTCGAGGTTAATCGAATTTCTTTTATTAGCACTCAATAGCATTTCGATCGCACTAAATTCTCGAATATCCTAATTCTTCTAAATCAACCAGTATTATCGAATATACCGTTATATGGATCCATTGCCGAGCTTGGAGTTTACGTACCGACCCGATTTTCCCGCGGCTAAATCCGACACGTTAATTTAAAAGTTCACCCGGTAGAAATTTCATCCGGACACCGGGACGAGTGTTTCGAATAATGAGAAACGTTCCCTCGGTCGGTTTAATTCCCGCCCCAAGAAAATTAACTGCAC